TGAACTCAAGGCCTTTGCAGTGAGCTGCAGCCTTGGCTTTTTTTTTTTTTTTTTTTTTTTTGAGACAAGCTATTGCTAAATCTCTAAGTTGCCCAGGCTAGACCCAAACTTGCCATCCTCCTGCCTCAGCCTCCTAGATTGACTGCTGAGATCATAGAAAGGATCTGACTGTTTTCTCATCACTTGCCTATCTATCGGCAGAACTTCTCTGCTGGCTGGTGCTTAGAAGGGACTTGCATTTGATTTCATGTTCTTCTGCCCTTGTGTTGAAAGTTTTAATAATCTGAGTAAATTGCTCTGGGCCCTGCAGATTTCATAACTGGGCCCACCTAATGCCAGGCCCATCACCTCAGACTGAGTTGCCCAAAGTCTCTCAGATCGTGGCCAAGGTTGGGGAAAGGGAGGCAAAGCATTGTGATGGTGACCAAGAGGGCCTGGTGTCTCCTGGAAGCAGACATCCTTATGGCAGAGATGTCCAAAGGCCCAGACCCAGCAGCAAAGCTCCCTGGAATCAGCCCACCTTTCCCTGCCTGGACCTGGCTCCCGAGGGCACAATGGGGCAGTTCCGGGAGCCCAGGGTTCATGGTCAGCATCCACTTCCACACGCCCCAAGGCCCTGACTCCACTGACCCGCGAGGGTTGGGAAAATGGTGAGGGTGAAGGAAGCTCTGGGCTCTGCAGGGCTAGGGGTAGAGGTGGCGGGGTGGGGGGGGCAGGCCTTGGCGGGGTGGGGTGAGGCCGCCAGATGGGACAAGAGGAGTGCCGGTGTCCTGTGTACGGATGCTTCCCTGGTGGGTTTCACATCGGTTGTTTTGGGCCTCATTTTTATTTTGCCTCTTTAATTTTGACCAACTACAGAGGAATAGATTGTTCACACGGAGGCCGAAAGAAGTTCATCTGGATCTCGAAAGGTTAGGGCTGGGAAGACAGGGAGCTGCCTCTGCACTGGAGGGAGTAGGGTACAGAGCAGATAAAGGGCCACAGAAAAAGGAAACTGCACTGGGGTCACCCACTGACCCCCTCATATCACCTCCCTTGCTCTTCTTTCTGGCTCTTAGCAATCTTTTTTTTTTCCTTTGAGACAAGTCTTGCTATTTAACCCAGGCTGGCCTTAAACGCAAGATCTTTCTGCCTCAGCCTCCCTGATTCTGGGTTATAGACTATAGACACAAACCACCACACCGAGTTTAGCAATTCTTTTTTTTTTCTTCTAGTCCTAGGGATTGAACCCATGCCTTTTACCCTGACCTACCTTTTACTACTTCTCAACCTTTTTTTATTTTTTGTTTTGACACCAGGTCTCACTAACTCCTTAATTTGCCTAGACTGTGCTCAAACTTGTGATCCTTCTGCCTCAGCCTCCCAGTGTGCTGGAATTATAGGCCTGCACTACCACACCCAGCTAGCAATTACTTTTTAAAAAGTCACTGTACCCGCTGTGTGCTGGGGTACAACTCAGCAGCAAGGCACCTGCCTGACAATTACAAGGCCCTGTTACATCCTCAGCACCACAAAAATAAAAAAATAAAGCCACTGCCTCTCAGCCCTTTCTGTTAAGGATTGAGTTGAAGCCGTCTCCCCCAAACTCTCAGAAGGTGGTCTCCTTTGGAGAAACAGTCTATACAGAGGAGCAAGTTAAACTGAAGTCGCTGGCATGACTGAGGCCCTTATGATAGCGAAGTTGGGACCCAGAGACAGGCACACAGGGAGAGTGTGGCCAGGAGAGAAGGCAGAAATCGGGGGCGGGTGGGGACGTGTCTCCTGGCCAAGGAACGCAAGATGGCCAGCTGCCCCCTGAGGCTGGGAGAGGCTCCTGGGGTGGACCTCTCCAGTGGCTTTAGACCTGCTAACCCCAGGGACCTAGACATCTCGTCAGAACTGTGAGATAGGAAGTGGGTACCTCCAGGTGGTGGGCATCATAAGCAGCCCCTGGAAGCAAAATACAGCCTCTCTGTGGGCACCATGGTTTCAGGGGTGGGTATGACCAGAGAGGAAGTTAGGGAAGGGTCCTGCAGGTCCTCAGAAGGGCCCCATGCACAAGTCCTTGAAGATATGGGCCTTAGCATCTCTCAAGAGGAAGCTGGAGGTGGGGACAAGCATGGATGCAGGGCCCAAAACATAGCAGGTCAGGGAAGACAAAAATCACATGCTTTGGACCAGACGCTGGTCACATTCATGCTGAGTGTGGGGGTCAGAGGTCACTTGCCAAGGCCAAAGCAGACAGGGCTGGGCCGGCCCAAAGAACACTGTGTTTGTTGGTACGTCACGTACATATCCAGGTATGAGGGGAGGTGAGAGAGCAGCCACACCCTGTCCTGGCATCTCCATCCCAGGGATCTAAGGATGGGTGGGGCTCTTTGTCCTTTGAGAGGGGATGATCATGAGGCTCAGACATCACTCAAAGCTGACCCAGGCCCAGAGAGGGCGGAAAACACACAAAAACACAGGGTAGGGGCAGAATCTGAAAAGTCCCATTTTACAGAGGAGACTGAGGCCAGAGATGAATGAGGCGAGGATGGCAAGAGGCCCCAGCCACACTGGCACGTGGGGTAAGGAGTGGCGGGGGGGGGGGGGGGGGGGAGAGGTCAAGGGGGCAAGGAGGAAGTGGAGAGAAGGGAGGACAGGGAGAGAACCCAGGAAGAGGAAAGAGAGAAAGGATAGAAAACACAGAGCAGGGTAGAGGGATATGCCAGAGCTGGAAGAGCTCCTCCCTCACTCAGGCCATGGCAGTGACACACAGGCAACATCAGAGGCCCGTGGCCCAGGGATTACGCTCGGGTGCCTCGCCATTTCCTCCTTTAGGAAGAGCTGGTCAGGAAGGGGCTGGGGCAGGACTCCCCACCGTTACTGGAAATAGGAACTCAGAGAGGGCGAAGTCCAGGGCGGACCCAGCATGACAACGACATCTGCAAGGCTGGGGCAAGAGCTCCACTCCAGCCCCGAGGGCCCTTTCTGCCCTCCCACGATGACAACTCCAAAGGATGTGAAGGCTGAGCCTGCGGCTTCAGTTTCTGCCTCGATTCTCTCCATCCTTTTCTAGGGGCCAGCTAGCGGAGGGGGAGCTCCTGAGGCCCCGCGGCAGCATCCTGCTGCCCCGAGCCTGGTCCCTGAGGCCTGGAGCCCAAAGCTACTAAGTTGGAAGCATCCTGAGTGGCCCCAGCTCTTGCTTTTCATGGGGAGAAATGGAAGCCAGAGGTAACACGGTGGTTCTGCGGCGCACAGCTGGCTCATGGCAAGATTAGAATGTGGGGCTCTTGAAACCTTATCTTGGCCACATCCTGTGACATCCCCAGGGGAGAAGGCAAGGGTGGGTAATGTAGAAATGGTCAGGGCAGTGGGGAATCTTTAATCCCCACAATGTGAGAGGCTGAGGCAGGAAGATAATAGAGTCAAGCCCAGTCTGGGTAATTTAGTGACTTAACAAAAATCTTGTGTCAACATTTTAAAAGGGTTGATGACATAGCTCATTGTGAAGGCCCTGGGTTCAATCCCTAGTATGAGAGGAGAGAGAGACAGAGACAGAGAGAGGGAGAGGGAGAAAGAGGGAGAGAAGAAAAGGAGAAAGAAAAAGAAAAAGAAATGGTGAGGTCAAGAGTTAGGAGAGGCAGCTGGTGCATGCCTATAGTCCCAGCACTTGGGAGGCTGAGGCAGGAGGATCCACAAGATCAAGGCTAGCTTGGGCTACATAGTGAGTTTAAAGTCACCCTAAACTACATAGTGAGACTCAAAAAATAAATAGACAGACAAAAAAACCCAAACCCTGAGACTCTGAGAAGCAGGTATGGTCCTGGGGCGTTCGGTGCAGAGGCAGAGGCAAGAAGGGGGGTTGGACGGGAACAGTCACCAGGTTAAGGTCCAGGTCTGATGCTGGTTGACCATCTGTCCGGGGCCAGGGATCATGTCTGGGGATTCTGTTTCATCCTCATGCAGCCAGACCACAAGCAGGCATTATGAACTCTCGCCTGGAGAGGGAACAACTTGCGGGGGGTGCGGTGTGCTCCAAAGCCCTGCACATCTCCTAAAGCTCTCTAGGGAGAGGAGAGGAGTCCCGGGAGAGAAGCAGTGCTCCAGGGAGATAAGCAAATCCGGGAGGGCGGCCTGTGGGATGGGGGGGTCACTCACCCTCCTCGGCATCGACAGCACGGTCAGGCAGGAGCTGGGAGACAAGGGCCAGAAGACAGAGCACCACCGTCACCTGCTTCTGCATTGGCGCGCAGAGGGCTGAGCTTGTCCTTCACCCTTCCCACAAGCTGGCAAAGTGAGCAGCAGCCAGAGAACCCCAAAAATAAAAAGGGCTCGGAGACCTTTGACCCCTAAGACACTGAGAAGCCAGGGACCAATGGTAACCTGAGTCAGTCTGGGAGCTTCCCTCCAGACTTAGGGTGTGGGGTTTGTACCAGGCCAAAGGGCAGAGGGAGGGGTTCCCCTTGATGGCCAAGTAGCACACAGACACGCAGTCAGATTTATCACCCTAAGAGGGGCGTTGCGGGGCCTGAACCAGCAGGGAGGTGGGAAGTGAGCATGAGGAGAGGGGCAAACAGCCCGAAGGGGCCAGGCCTGAGCAGGAGAGAAGGTCTCCCGGGTTTGGACCCAGCTGCTGGTGAGGACACCCCCTTCTCAAGCCCTTCTGTGTCCTATGGTACCCCAGCAGGACAAGGGGTACAGCTCCAGCAAGAGCTGAGCCAATTCCAGCCCCGGGACGGCTGTGAGTTCTTGAGGTTCAGAGGTGAACACAGACCCCATGGCCACCTGGAGTGACTTTGTCCACCCTCAAGCGCTCACTTGAGGGTCCCACCCCTCATTCCTTGACCTGAAGGTTCACTCCTGCTCCCAGGCCCTGACTGTGGGCTTGTATGTCACAGAGACTTCAGAGAGGTGGAACCCAGCCCAGCCGCAGCCAGAGCAGACTCACACTCTCCCTCCCACCCTGCCCCTGCCCACAGTGACACCCCAGACCCCCACGGCCGGCAGGGGAGGGAAAGAGAGTGATGATGTCACTGTGCTGTTTAAGAGTTGCTTTTATTCTCCAGGAAATTCCACAGTGGGGAGAAGCCCGAGGGCGAACAAAGATGCCAAAGGTTCTGGTATTCTCGGGCTCCTGGGCAGGACGTGAAGGTGAAGGAGCAGACAGAACCACTCACAGCCCCCACGGCCTTTGCAGCAGGCCGCAGCAGGAGACCACAGGCCAATCCGTCACCTGTGCACGGACTTGCAGGGCCACAGGGCCCGGCACCGCTTTCCTCTTGGCCAGCCAGGGGCGTTCATAGTGGGCCCTCGGTCACTCTCTGGTCCAGATCTACACGAGGGGTGGGATCCTCGGGCCATCTCACCGAGTGGTCTTCACCACCTCTGGCCTCTGAAAGTGGAGCTAGAGAGAAGGAGAGGCAAGTGAGGCCCAAGGGGCAGTCCCAGGGCCGGAGAGGGGAGCCCCCGGGCTCAGAGAAGCCATAGGGCTGGGGCAGGTCTCAGCTGAGTCACCTCTGCGGCGGGGTTGACGGTCCCCAGCGAGGGCTGGAAGCGGCTGTAGGCGTTCTCCAGGCTGAATCTGTCCTGCAGGTTCCGGTCTGTGGGCAGAGGTGTGGGGTGAGAGGGGGCCAGAGGTGCCTGGGAGACACACAGGAAGTGGGGGGCTCCAGGAAAAGGAAGCCAGTCCTCCCTCCATTCACCCCTTGATGATGTCTTGGCAGTGCCAGAATGTGCCCAGGAAGCTGGCCCAGTGTGCCCCAGGGACAGGCTGGAAGCAGAGCGGGGGGGGGGGGGGAGAGCCACAGCCCTAGAAAGCTCAGACCACAGCCTGGGGCCTGATGGGGCAGGGGTCACAGGTGAGGAGGGGTGAGGAGCTGGGTGGAGCCCAGGCAGACTGCGTCAACAGGCATCCCAGCCCTCCACCTTGGCAACAGTAACCACAGCAAGCAGAGCCCAGCTACAAACCGGGGACCAGCCCTGTCCCCATCCTGGGTGCCAAACTGACGTCATCTGTCCTGCAGACCCCCCATCCCGCCTGGCCACCGGGTGTGCGGGGCCTGACCGTCAGGTGCCTGTGCCTCGCTGCCCTCCTGGAGGGTCCTCCCGCCCTGCTGGCTGGCTCCCTGCCTGCTTCCCATCCAAGACTGATAACACCCCGTGCCCCCTCAGACCACTGACCTCTGGGCTCTGCAGAGAGGCACCTCCTGCTTCTCCCAGGATGATCGTCTCAGCCAAGGACCCCACACTCCTGGTTCCGGGCCACCTGAGAGCCCTGAGAATCCTCCCTCACTCCCTACCCTCCCGCACTCCTGCTCACCCCTAAATGCCTCACCAGGTTGCCTGGTCCCGCAGCCCACTTCCAGGCTTCCTCATCCTGTCCCCTGGTCCTTTGTGTTAGTGCTGCCCCCGAGAACACACCTGAGGGAGCCACTCAAATGCACATCCTGCCCTCTTTGATCCACACACAATGAGCTGGGCCCCGAAGCCTTGCGTGATCTGGCTCTGCCCACCTCATGGCCCCCCACTCATTCTTCTAGGGCTTCTTGCCTTTAGTTCCCTCCACAGGCCCTGACCTTGCCCGCCTCAAGGCCTTTGCTTGTGCAGTGCCCCTCGCCTGGGCGCCCCTCCCCTGTCTCAACAGCACAGTTCGTGACAGTAAAGAGTCACCTCTGACTCACTGCTCAGAGAATGAGGCTTGGCCCTTGGAGAACTCCCTGACCCCTACAGCCCTATCATCCCAGGCAGGATTCACCCCTGGCCAGGATGCTGTCCGGGGCAGGGTGGCCCATGGGGTTTCAGGAAGAACTGGGAAGGCAGAAAGCAGGGCTCAGTGGGAAGAGGCATGCAAACAGAGATCCCAACAGACCCAGCTGCAGGGCCCTCGAGAGCTGAAGCAAAAAAAAAAAAAAAAAAGAGAGAGAGCTGAAGCCAGAGGGGGCTGAAGCTCAGGGAGACCGCACAGAAGGCCGCAACGCCAGCCTGTCCTACATCAGCTGCCGCCCAGGGCAGGGAGCAGAACATTCCAGCCCACAGCATCGTATGTCGGAAGGCGAGCAGGAGGAGAATGCGGAGGGGTTCAGGCCTTGGGAGTGGCATGGGCAAAGGCTGAGAAAAGGCTGAGCATTGTATGGGGGCTTGTACGGCGCTGTCAAGGCAGGGGCACAGGCCAGGCTGTAGCAGCAGACGTGAGACAGGCTGTCCCCAGGACCACAGGAAGCGGGCAGGACGCCTGTGACATCCTGTGGCCACAGAACTGGGCACCCCACAGCTTCCCCGCCCCCTGCTCTGACCACAGGTACCTTCCCAGACGCCCTTGTTCTGGAAGCTGCCGGGGATACCTTCCTTCCGCCACTCTTGAGACAGGTTGTACTCTTGGCTGCCAACAGAAATGGAGTGAGCGTGGAGGTCTGAGCTTCCCCAGGGGAGGGGTGTGTCACAGGCACACCCTGAGTCCTGGAGGGCTCTGCCCTCAGTAATGGGAGCAGAAAAGGCAGAGCAAGGTCACCATGCTCCCATCCCAGGGCCGTGGCTGGGCTTCCGGAATGCCCCTTGCTCTCTCCGGCAGGCTTCAGGGTGGCTCCTTCACACTGCCAGCCCCGGCCCAGAGCTGTGCGGGACATTCCCTTACGCCATGCACAGGAGTGGGGGGGGCGACCCAGATGGCTCGGCCCCAGCTGCCTCGTGCGGCAGAGCTTCTATGATAGCCCAGGTGATAACAGCCGCAGGTAATACTATGCAATCCAACTTTAGTGCTTAAGTTTTTGTTTCCATTTCTCTGCCAAACGGATGTGGCCTATCATATTATGATAGGCTTCGGTGAGGGGTAGCCACCGGGGGTTCCTGCGCCAGCTCTGTGTCATCTCTCTGAGCTGCACACCGGCCCCACATGCTCACCTGTGAAGTCTCCTCTGGGATCGGCTGAGGAAGACAGCCAAAGTCAGCACGACGATCACCAGTACCGCCAACACAACGCCCACCAGCCCATACACAAGGCTCTTGCTGATATTCAACTCACAGGTCTCTCCCCAGTACCAGTGCGAGTCTGTGTTCGGGCATCTGGAGACACACACGAGCTCAGCCCCTGTACACCTCACATGGGCCTCCCAAAAGCCAGGCAGTCACAAAGCACGGGCACAAGGTTATCGCTGCCCAGAGGGCAGGCTCCGGGTCCCCAGGGAGAGGTTGGGGGACGCAGGGAGGGCAGAGCAGGAATTGAGAATGACAGGAACTTAGAGGGAGCCCAGAGAAGTGGGCACCTTATGGCAGACATATATTTACCCATCTAATCTCAAAGCTTCCAGCATCTGGATGGGCTTGTTATCATGTTTTATATTTTGCAATTTAATTTATGATCTTGGGAAATTAAGCCTCTAGGCCACTGCTACAGCTGATAATGGAACCACAGCTGAGATAAGGGAGGGGAAATTAGTGAGAGAGAAAGAGAAAGTCAAGGGTGGGGGGTAGAGAGCGATGGAACTGAACTTCCCCAAGAAGTGGAAGGGCCGTATCTCTAATCTATGCCCACCCGTCACTCTCATGAGGCTGGGGGCGGGGGATGAGGGAGCCAGGTGGAGGGAGGAGGGGATGAGAGGGAAGGTAGAGGGGGAGGAGTCATCTTCCAAGCTCTGCCCACCCCACCCTGGCTCCATTGGGGGCTGTGGGGGTGGGGAGGAGAGAGAGTGCATGGACGAGGGGGGGACTCACAGGCAGTGGGGGCCACTGCGCTGCAGCTGGCACTCGCCCAGGTTGCAGTTGAGGTAGTCTTTCCAACCCGGGGTGCACCTGGTCACACAGGTCAGCTGCCCGTTCAGCTCCTCTGCATAGTAGTACTGGCCATAGCCTTCTGCAGCCTTCTGGATACATTGTTCTGAGGGTGAGGGTGGGTAGCATGAGTCAGTCCAGCCGAAGCTCCCCAAGACCCCACATTCACTGCCCACACCCACCCCCTCCTGTCCATGGTTCAATGCAGCTGCTCACCCTGCGGGTCGAAGGTCGTCTGCACTATGGCCTCGTCCACAGTGGTGTCAATACTGTTGTAGCACAGTTTGGAGACTGCCAAGGATGGGAGGGAGATAAAACCAACAGAAATGCTTACTCTGCCTCCACGGGGGTGGCCCACTCTATACCACGCCCTCCACAATGGGCCAGCACTGGAGGGAGGGAGCTTGGTCTATCCCCAGATAGGGAGCTGGACCTGTGAGTTAGCTCGGGCAGGGACATTGGGGGTGGTGACAACCTCAGTCGGGGAGTGAGAGGGTCCGGTGGGAGGAGGAGGGTACTGCGGGAGGGGAGGGTCATGTGAGACAGTCAGGGACACCACGGTGGGACAGAAAGCTGAAACAACAAAACGAGCTCATTCCTAACACAGCATGTGCCACCTCTCTACCTCGCGCTTTTCACAACAGATCTGTCTCGAGACTCTGATAAAACCACAGGAGGAGAATGTGTGCGCAATGTGAGGGAACTGTTACCAAGAAAAAAATCTACAGAAACTGTCTAGCTTCACTTGCTCTTAGCACACGTGGAAACCCCTTGTTTTGGAGGCCATCCAGATCGGCAATTCATTAGTAGTCTCCCACTAGCTTTACTGGACATAGCACTAGACACACGAGCTGTGACAGAAGTTGCCCTGATTACTTTGCAGGAGCTTGAAGGCTGCTTTTTTTTTTTTCAAACACTGACTAGCACAGTGGCACACACCTGTAATCCCAGTATTCTGGGAGGCTGAGGCCAAAGGATTGGAAGTTTGAGCCCAGCCTGGGCAATTTAATGACTTAGCAAGACCTATCTCAAAAAAAAAAAAAAAAAACTTAGAAATGGGATATATAGCTCAGTGCAAAGGCGCTGGGTTCAATCCCTAGGACTGAAAAACAAAACAAAATAAAACAAAAAGATTGACTTGTCACTTGAGCCTACAGAGATCTGACAGATGACTAACACGGGATGAAAGGTTTGCATCTGTCTTTATTCCCTTTGCTCTCTTAATCCCTGGGTCAGATTCTGTTCAATTCTGCCTATAGTCTTGCTGACCATTTAGTAAAAATTGCTTGTCCAACACTATACTGCAGGGCTCACTCAGCCTACTGCCCACTGGAGCTGGTCTGTGTTTTCTTTTCTTTTCTATCCTCCTCCCCGCTTCTCTGCTCCCACCCTTGTGCTTCTCCAATGGCCACAGCACCCCAGTACCTAACGTCTTTCAACCCTTGCCTAGGGCCCAGCCCAAGAAGACTGAGCTGTATGGAGCAGGATGACAGCATCAGCTATGCAAGAATTCAGTAGTCTCTAGGACAAGTTCACCTTGACCACCCAGTGGTCCAAGTCTGTCACAGGAAGTAACACCCAGCCAATGAAAATAACCGGACTTGAGCTCAGCCCAGCAAATCAGTAAACACCTGCAGCTGTCTTTGTTCTCTGAACAGCTTGGTCCCTCTCTTGATCAATGTTAATTCTCTTTGCCTAATGCCACAATTCAACTGAAACACACACCCCTGCCACCACCACCACCCCAATAAACCTTGCCTGTGTGCAAGACAGCGTGTGCTTGTGAGCTTAGGCACAGCCTTATTTCCACTGTCCTTGTGTCAAAAGATCCTTGTGTCTTACTATTACTTCGACCTGACTTCTGGGTTCCTATAGTGACAGCTATGACAACTATGGCATTCCAGAAGAAAGGAGAGAGAAGAAGGAGTAGACAGAGACCAGGGCGTGCTCACCCACCATGGTCAAGGAGCTTCAGGCAGACCCACCTTGACACTTGACTATGTCATCCTCAACTGTACTGGTTTCATTCATGATTTTGGCCCTCACGATCCTTGTGAGGTTGCGGAACAGTGCCTTATACTGTGGGATGTAGTTTGTCTCCAGGACGACATCACTTTTCACCACGATGCTGCCATTGCTGGAAGCAGGAGTTATTTCATCAGTTACCCTGTGTCACCCACACACCCAGCAAGTGGGACCCAAAGTGAGGGGGGAATGGGAGACAAAGCAGCAACAGGACTGACTCTGAGGTGGGAGAGAATCAATGGAACAGGACAACACAAGATCCAGAAGTATCAGTGGCCATAAGAAATACCATCATTGGGGCTGGGGATTTAGCTCAGCGGCACAGCACCTGCCTGGCAAACGCAAGTTCATGAGTTCAATTCCCGGTACCGGAAAAAATAAAACAAAACAAAACAAAACAAAACAAAACAAAACAAATGCCAACATCTCCTTAAAAATAGAAGCTCTTGTGGCGGGGATGTGGAGAAACTGGAACCTTCTTTGTCCACTGTTGGTGGGAAAGTTAAATGGTACAGCTAGGGGTTGGGGATTTAGCTCAGTGGCAAAAGCGCCTGCCTGGCAAGCACAAGGTCGTGGGTTCGGTTCCCGGTACCAGAGAAAAAGCAAAATCAAAAAAAAATAAAAATAAAAAAATAAATGGTACAGCTGCAGTGGACAGGATTATCAGATGATCAAACAATCACACTTTTGAATACAGAATCAAAAGAACTGATGACAGAACATTGAGGAAATACGTGTTCATTATTTTATAGCAGCATTATTCTTTTTGTGGGGGAGGGATTGAGACAGGGTCTCCTTTGAATTCTCTTATGTAGCCCAGGATGGCTTGAACTTGCTTATGTAGCCCAGGCTGGCCTTGAACTCACAGCCATCCTCCTGCCTCAGCTTCCCGAGTGCTGGGATTACAGGCAGGTGCCACCATGCCTGGAAGCAGCATTATTCTTAACAGCACCAAAGCATAAATGAGCCAAGGGTCCATCAACAGAGGAATGTGATATCTATATGCAGTGGAATATTACTCAGCCTTAAAAATGAAAGACATCCTGCCATATGCTACAATTTGGATGACCTTTGAGGACAAGTGAAATAAGCAAAAAAAAAAAAAATACTGTGTGATTCTTATTCTGTGATGTAACTGGAATTGTCAGAACCATAGAGTCAGAAAGTAAAATGATGGGGCTGGGGATTTAGCCCAGCGACAAAGCACCTGCCTGGCAAGTGCAAGGTCGTGAGTTCAGTTCCTGGTACAGGAGAAAAACCAAAAAAAAAAAAAAAAAAAAAAAAAAAAAAAGAAAGAAAGTAAAATGATGTTTGCCTGGGGATATAGAGCAATATTGATGGGGACAGGCTTTCACCACGTCCTTGCTGGCCCCAGAAGTCTATCTGGGAAGAGTCACCTTTCCAACCCCCTCCCCCACCATCACTGCTTTACCCTAAAGAGGCCGGTACGTTCCTGGAACAGTCCTCCTCTTTCTTTGGGGTCACCTTCATTCCTTCCCTCTTCCCTCCCCTGTTCCTCCAAGGCTCCGTGAGTGGCCGCATCTCCTGGGAAGAATTCCCTCCCCCACCCCACCAGGCTCACTTCACCACCTCTAGATGCATCCTGTGTGTCCCTTTTCAGAACTCTCAGACTGCAGACATTGTCTTATCTGCATCCTGCCGCTCTGAGCTCCAGGAAAGCCGGAGGTACTATATTCTCAGCATCCAACACAGGGCGGGCTTTTACTTATTTATTTTTTTGTTTTGCTTTTTGGGTCTTTTGGGTACCAGAAATTGAATTCAGGACTTCATGCTTTCCAGGCAGGTGCTACACAGGGCAGACTTTTAATTTAATAATTTGTTGAGTGAATAAAGATTGAATGAAAGGATGAATGAATGAATAAGCAAGTGGTAAATTAATGAGCATGATGGGTGCATGAATGAACAAGCAAATTATGAATGAATGAACCATTGATAAGTAAATGAACATGAAAAAATGGTGAATGAATGTAAGTACTGATGAATGAAAAAACAAATGATAAATGAATGAACCATTGATTAATAAGTGGTCTCAGGGCCCTCAGTGTTGCCTAGAGACTCTCACCATTCCTGATAGGATGGAGCACAACCACGGGGGTTATGGAGGGGCTCTGACAGCCTAGAAACCTGCCCAGTATACTTACGCCAGATCCGTGATGATCACCTCTTTGTACTGGGGGAGGGTGGAGTCGTTGAACACTTCATTCATCTGAAAGAAATAACTCAACTTGCACCCACTTGGTTCCATCCTTATCTAGGCCCCTTCTGTGGAGCCCGCAGGAAGGAGGCTGAGAAGGCACGGAAGCACAGAAACTGCAGTCAGGTTGGGGTGGGGAGGGCTCCCTGGTGGAAGTTCTCAGGTCTCAGATGAGTACCTCATGGCTTCCAACAACCGGCCTCCACTGCTCTTACCCGCTTCTTGAATTCATCAGTGAACCTCAGGTACATCAAGGAGGATTTGTTCTTCAGGTCTTCTGTGAAATTCCTGTAAATCACTTTCACTTTCATAGGGACAATCCCGTTGATTACTTCTGGGGGGTCTGTGGGAACAGGGCACACTAGGTATGGCAGCAACTTCTCAGGAACATCCCCTGGGACAGGGGAATTCTCTGCCTGTTCTCTCATGGAGGTGTGGGAAGTGGGAAGGGGAGAGAGACGGGAAACTCAAGAGTCAGGTGGCAGTCACTAAGACATCTGTCCCTTATCTTTCAATACCATGAGACGGCCAGTATTGTGACCCAGAGGAAGTCAGGGGAAGAGATATGGGAAGGGCTGGGCTAGGAATCCCCCAGTCCAGCACAAGAGGACTGGAGAGTTTCCATGAAAATTTTTCCAAAGGCAGAGGCAAAAGGTTCCTGATCTACATCAACCCCTCTCCCCGAACAGTGAGGCAGTGGGAGTGGTGAACCCTCCTAACACTACCATCCTATTTCAAGTGCCAAGGGGAATAAGGAGAACTACAGGTCTCAGAGACAGTCGTTACCTATGAAGAAGGAGTACACGAGGTACTCGCACTTCCGACCCGTGGTGCCAGGTCTGCAGGTGCAACTGTTTCCGTTCCAAGATCCCCCGTGGAAGCATGACACTGGGGAGGTACAGAATTCATGAGGTCATTAAGGAAGCCCAAGGAACAGAAACTGGCTCCTGTCCAGTTCCCAATGATAAGGCATAGAATTTGTCAAGGGCAGTAAGACTGGATGATCCATTACTTAGCATCAGGGAGCAAGGAAAGGAGAAATACAAGCAGACAAAGAAGGAAACAGCCCTACAAATCAAAAGTAGGTGGCATGGACTGGCGACTGGAGAGTGCAAAGAGGAACATGGTAATAAACAGGAAAACATGATTACACTGCAAAGAAGGGAGAAACAAAGGTGCATACACAATGACATAGGCAGAAACTTACTTGCTGACAAAGTCACAGCATGGGCAGTGGAGTGGGTGGTGGTGGACACAGACTGCACAGTGGATCTGCTGCTGAGACCTGAAAGTGGGGACTGGGTAGAGTGAGCAGTGGCAGAGTAGGGAAGAGGAGAAAAGCTAGAGGAAAGTGGGATAGCAGAATGGTCAGAGACTGTCAAGAAGGAAGAGGAAGACTCCGAATAAGAAGCGGAAGAAGCAGTTTCAGAGACTGTGGGTGGGGCTGAGTCAGACATCAGTGTCGGGCCTACGGAAACTGGGCTGCCTGGGAAGGCTGTGGAATCACTGTGCACAACCGTGTTCAGGGAGCTCGCAGTAGCAGCAGTGCTGTATGCTGAAGATGTGAGGGGAGGGGAGGATCTTGTAGGTCCCGGAGCCAGCATAGCAGTGGAGGAACTGTCAGACAACACTCCCCAGGAAGTGGGACTTAGGGCACTGTACAACGAGGTAGAGCCTTGAGAAAGGAGCGTGGAAAGGGACATTTCCGAGGTAGCTGTGCTGTGTAATGACTTCGGGCTGCTTGAAACAATTGTCCAAGTTCCAGGAAGCACAGTGACCTGATCGGGGTCTGATTGGACGGTTGTGGATGATGAGGCGGGACTATGTAGCAAGGTTGTGGGTCCCTCAGACTTCCCTGGGGTCTGGGAGCTGTGTGTTGGCAGTGTGGCCTGGGCTGAACCAGGGCTGCTTGGGAAGGCTGTGGAGGGCCCAGTCCAGACAGTGGTTTGGGAGCTAGCAGAGGGC